TCTTGTCAGAGCGGCACTAGGTAACCAGAACGGTCGGAAAGGACTCAATGGCACCTAACAACAATAACATCTCTATGGAAGTAGATTGCCCAGTCTTCCTTCCAAGGAGTGGCTGGTAGGTTTGAACTGCCAGCCTTCTGGTTAGCTGTCAGAAGCCTTAGCCGCTACACCACCAGAGTTCCTGATTATATAATAGGTTCCTTAATAAATATTAATTTGTGGTCTATATATGATGGATTGTTTTTATTGTTACCAATTATTTTTTGTATACTAGTTTATATACTTCTCCACTATTACTCTAACAGTTTATTAAGTTTAAAAAAGGCTAAGTCATGGTTTTCTAACTTTTTACAACTACTATGTCTTTTGGGAAATTTAAACAAAATATACCTTTTGGTAGTTTGTATTAAAACTAATTTATTTTCACCCAAAGAAAACTTCTAACGTTGAGTATACTTTTTGAACCTACACCCTTATCTTCCCTCTTTCTCATATTCAGATGTGAGTAGATTTTTAATTCACACTTTAGATATGTACATATTTGAAACATACTAGTTTAAGAATATTTTTGTGTTTATTAAAAAAAAAAGTATAGCTCCTCTATAAACTAACTTCTTTTAGTACTACTGAGAGACATTATATTAGGTGATGGACTAATCATAATCTTATTTATATTCCTATTATGGTAGATTCTTGGGATTGCTGGATTTAACATTTGCCTTTCTCCCTCCAGCAATTTGTATGTAACCCTTATAATCCATGCATGAATAATAAATTTTACTAAAATATGAATTTGAGTCTTACTAGGTTGAGATTTTTATTTTGGTCACTTAGCCAGCCATCTAGCCTAGCAGCCTCATTTCAGAATGACTTTGCCTTTGCAATTTGACTTTGTGTATATGGTAATTGTTGTGTGTTAAACAGTACTTCACTTTATGAGCAGCAGCATCTTATTATACCCCTATTATCAACTTTGGAAGCTCTGGTAGCATAGTGGCTAAGGTACTTGACTGCTAACCAGAAGCCTGGCGGTTCAAACCCACCAGCCACTCCTTGGAAGGAAGATTGGGCAATCTACTTCCGTAGTGATACTACCTCAGAAATCCAAGGAGGGGTCACTATGAGTCGACAGCAAATAACAACAACATTATAAACTTTAGGGCTTTCATGGCTATTTGGACGTATCTACCATTAATAAATCTTCCTTATGACACTCATTACTAAATACTCTTTCTCCATTTAAGAATACTTCATTAAAATGGTTTATATGACTGCTGTGGTATAATATTAAATGAGTTAGTATTTTAAAATTTTTGCTGATGCCAAACTCAAAACTCCAAATTCATTGCCATCAAGTTGATTCTGACTCATAGTGACCTCCTTTGGGTTTCCAAAGTGGTAAATCTTTATGGAACTATATTGCCCAGTCTTCCTTCCATGGAGTGGCTGGTGGCTTTTAACCGCCAGCTTTCTGGTTAGCAGTCAATGCCTTAGGCACCAGTTGGTAAAATTAATGGCCTTAATAATAGTTGTGCTATTTGTCATTTAGCTTAATATTATAGAAATTAATGATACCATTTAAATCTAAATATTTAAAAAGTGAAAAGAGCTTTTACTGGTAATTAATTGAATGGCCTTTGGGTACTGTGTGAAAACACTAGATGGTATATATATTTTGATGGAAAGCTTTGAAATCTTGGGTTCTGTGTCTACTCTGTATTTGGAGAATGGCCTTGGGCAAATGATTCAGCCTATCTAAGCATCCACTTTCTTAATATGTGAAACAGGGATTATAATAGCTAGGCTGTGAGGGTGTGAGATTAAGTGAAATGATATTTTTAAGGTACCTAATACAAATCGATGTGAGCGAAGCCTTCAGTAAGTAGTGGCTGCTTTTATGTTAGAGGTAGTAAAGGAGATGAATTCTTACTTTATGTTAGTTGTCTTTAAAATTTCTTAATTTTAATTTTTGCTAAGTTTCACACTATCTTTCAAAAAGAAAGCAAAAGTAGATATATTTCAAGGTTTAATAACAGCCTAGGATAATTATTGGGAGCTCTGGTGGCGTAGTGCCTCAGGCATTTGACTGCTAGCCGGAAGGCTGGAGGTTCAAATCCACCTGCCACTCCTCAGAAGAAAGGTTGGGCAATCTAGTTCCATAGTGATACTGCCTCAGAAACCCAAGGAGGGGCCATTATGAGTCATATCTAACTTGACAGCAGTGAGTGAGTGAGTGAGTGAGGATAATTATTCCATCAAAATATTAGTTAATCTTAATTAAGATATCAAAGGATAATTGCAAGTGTAATAATGCAAATTCTGAACGTATTTATATATTGAGATATGTATGTATGTGTGTGTGTGTGTGTATATATATATATATATATATATTCACACACACATAACACATATATAAATGTAAAATCGCTAGATTTTAGATTTTATCTTTCTGTTACTTGTTGTTGTTGTTGTTATGTGCCGTCGAGTCAAACCCGACTCATAGCGACCCCTCCTTGGGTTTCCGAGGCAGTATCACTACAGAAGTAGGATTGCCCAACCTTCCTTCCGAGGAGTGACTGGTGGGTTTGAACCGCCAGCCGTCTGGTTAGTAGGCAAGTGTCTCAGCTACTATGCTACCAGAGCTCCCTTAGCTTCCTTTTTTTTCGTATACAGGAAAGATCTTATAGATACTGTAACATGTAATGTGGTAAAAAACAGAATGTATGCCAAGAAATTAACCTGAATTAGAATATTTTTGCATGCATAGGAAGTCTGCAAAGGGCATGAATATTAACTTCATATTTTTAACCTTTAAAATAAACATAATCTTTGAATTTTGGTTGTTCTGATAAACAAATTCAAATTAATACCTCAGTGACAGTAAAAACTATTAACTAATCAACCCTTTTACTTGTTGTGGTCTTTCTCTTCTTTGATTCCTCTCAATAAATATTACAGACCTCATTAATTATTCTCTGTAAGCCCACATTCAGTCTTTCTCAACTTCCCTTCAGTAAGTGACTGTGACTTATCATTAAAAGTGAGGTCATCAGTTGAAATCTCTTGCATCCCTACATCCACATCCCTTTGTACGACTTTTCCACTCAGATCATTTGTAATTCTCTTGGCCTGTGATCATGGTTCTAATCTCTGGATTACACTTTTCATCCTTTCACGCAAATGTCCTTTAAGATTCAGCACAAATATCACCTATTATATAAAAGTTTCCAGTATGTGTCAGATTGTATGTCTTAACCAGCAGAAACCCAATTCTTACCATATTGGCTTAAATGAAAAAAAAAAAAAACTTTTCTCTATTTTTGAAGTTATTCAAATAATGTTGAGTTAGATATTCTGACATAGGGAAATACCTATACAAATCTTTTTTCTATTTTTCTTTAGGTGTGTTTTTTTCCCACCTTCCCTTCTGTCTTTAACCTCAGACCAATTTGAAAATGTCGTCTTATTTAGGGACTAAATTGACAATTTAACTTAATAATTTGAAAATTGCCCTTTTTCCTTTTTTAATGAGTAATTTAAATATCAGTTACTGCAACCAGCTCTTTAACATTTGATTTTACAGTATATTTGGTTTCTTTTTCAAGTAAACCTAGAATTAATATGGTTTGAAAGAGTTTTTTAAATTTTGAATGCTAATTACTCCTGCACATTTAAGCCATCTTTGAAAGTCTTGAACTTTACCTGTTTCAAATAACTGTGATCCAAAATAAAATAATATATGCCTAGTTTTAATGTGTGGGCAATTTATATACTGTACTACAGATTGCAGTAATGTAATTTTGCAGCTAGGAGGCAATGTGGTCAAAGAATAAAGTGTTCTCCCAGTTATCATGTTCAAACAAGATAAGCAGAACCTGGAAGGAGCACACAGTGTGTAAAGTCATGACATTTACTGTGACAGTTGAAGCATTTTTTATTATCTTCTGTTATTATATAAAGCCACTACTAGTTTCTTGACAAAGAAATGTAAGTTACTACCTTTGTGAGCCCAGTTTTTTAATTGATTTATATGTTGGTAGCTTTTTAAATCATGTCCATTACTGAAAGAGTTAATCTTTACACAAATTCTCTATTTTTGTTGATAATTCATTAGAATCATAGTGTTCAACTAGATTGTTGTTGTTGTTGTTATTTTGCCGTCGAGTCGGCCCCGACTCATAGCGACCCCTCCTTGGGTTTCCGAGGCAGTTATCACTACGGAAGTAGGATTGCCCAACCTTCCTTCCAAAGAGTGGCTGGTGGGTTTGAACCGCCAACCTCCTGGTTAGCAGTCAAGTGCCTTAGGCACTATGCTACCAGAGCTCCCATTCAACCAGATAGTAATTATATATTTATGTGGACTATGACTCTGTGTTAGAAATAGGGGGAATTCTTATATTCTAGTTTGTGAATATTCAAAGAAGAATGAAAAATAGTTATTCATTCTTTACTTAATTTAAGATTTCATTTTTCTAAATGAAGAAAAAAATGTCTGTCTTGATGTCCCATGTATGCTTGAAGATGCTTGTAAGATGGAGTCAGTGGTAAGATTAGTACAAAAATGTATGCTATATATTCTTGATGTATACTGGCCACTGATTTGCATGAAGCAGGGAAAAATAAGTTTTAGAATTCACAGTGGTTATTATGAAGTTAAACAAGGACAACTATTTCTGAAACCAGGGAAGAAATTCTCTCCTGGGTTGTTCTTCATTGTGCAGTGGGTAACCCACGAAAGTGTGATTATAATAACATCCTTACATTGAAGGCAGTGATACTAAGTTTCATAGAAATATTATTTAAGTACTTTGAATGACTAGGAACATCAAGGTAAAGCACAACTCAGGGTGAGAAATTTTGTGCCAGGTGCATTAGAAATTGATAAAATTAAGTATTGACCTTTTAGATTTTATTTTTGATAGAAGCTTTCATATACTTATATGTCATTGGTATCACTGGCAAATTCATCTAAATATTCCTAATGTTCCTTCTCTTTTTAGATTCTGAAAAGGAGTTCCACATCCTCCCTCACCGAATTTTTGTCCATATCCCTGGGTCCACTATAATGTTATGTGATTATAAATTTGGTGATGAACCACCTGAAGAAATCACAGACCATTTTAGAGAGATGTTAGATCAAATTATTCAAATAAAAGATTTAGAAATTGCAGAGGAAACAAACTCAGGTAATTACAAGATATATTTTAGAAGCTTATTAGAGTACAGCTAAGATTACATGAGTCATCTAGTTTAAATATTGTGTCTTTAGATCTCCTTAAAACTAATTCTGTTTGACACTTCAAAATATTTACTGAGATGTATTAAAATGTATTGTTTAATTTTCTACATATATATACATACAGTGTTTTCTTAGAAGATTTTACCAAAATTTAGGATATTTTAGTCTTTTCTAAGCCTAGGAAGTAAAACTTCATAAAATGAGTTTAGTCTTTAGGTCTTTAATTATAAAAGAGATGTTTTCACAAAACTCATTTTCTTAATCACTTTGCTAAGTGTCCTGTCATAAAGTTTTTAAACACTCTTTATTAAATGTTTGCTCTGTATTAATTGTCTTCCTTCATATATAACCACAACCAAACTAAACTCACTGCCATCAAGTCAGATCCGACTCATAGCAACCCCTCCTTGGGTTTCTGAGGCGTATCACTACAGAAGTAGATTGCCCAATTTGCCTTCCAAGGAGTGGCTGGGGCGTTTGAACCACCAGCCTTCTGGTTAGCAGACAAATGCCTTAAGCACTCTGCTTGTATATATGGGACAAAAAGCTGAATAAGCAGTTCTAAAAATAAGATCAAGATGATTATTATACTGCATAGACTTGTCATACTATCCAATTATGTAACACATTTTCTTCCCTTAATTCTTTAGATGTATTCTGGTTTGCCTTTCTTGGAGTATGTTACCCTGAATTAAACCTAGTATGTTAATATTAATAATCAATAGTAACATAGAACCTACTATGTGCCAAGTACTGTTCTAAGAGGCTTACAAGCAATATTTCTGAAAAATTGGCCACAGAAAACCTTATCAAACCTGTCAGTTTGTCATACTGGTGCTTATATGTTGCCGTGAAGCTGGAGGCTATGCTGCCAATATTTTGAATACCAGCAGGGTCACCCGTGATAGACAGGTTTCAGCAAAGCTTCCAGGCTAAGACGGACTGGGAAGAAGGACAGGGCCATACATTTCTGAAAAAATTGGTCAGTGAAATAGCAGTGAAACATTGTCTGATACAGATGAGCCCCTCAGGTTGGAACACACTGAAAATATGATGGGGGAAGAGCTGCCTCCTCAAAGTAGAATAGACCTTGATGACATGGATAGAGTAAACTTTTAGGACCTTCATTTGCTGATGAGGCACAACTCAAAATCAGAAGAAACAGTTTCAAACATTCATTAATAATAGAAAAGTGGAATGAATGTATGAAGTATGAGTCTAGGAAAATTGGAAGTTGTCAAAAATGAAGTGGAATGCATAAAGATTGATATTCTAGACATTAGTGAGCTGAAATGGGCAGGTATCAGCCATTTTAAATTAATCATATGATCTACTGTGCTGGGAATGACATATTAAAGCGGAATGGCATTGCATTCATCGTCAAAAAGAACATCTCTAGCTATCCTGAAGTACAGTTCTGTCAGTGATAGGATAATATTCATACGCCTACAAGGAAGACCAATTAATGTGACTATTACTCTAATTTACGCACTGACCAGTAAAACCAGAGATGAAGAAATTGAAGATTTTTACCAACCTCTGAAGTCTAGAATTGACAAAACATGCAATCAAGATGTATTGATAATTACTGGTGATTGGAATGTGAAAGTTGGAAACAAAAAAGAAGGTTCAGTAGTTGGAAAATATGGCCTTGGTGATAGAAATGATGCTGGAGATCACATGATAGAATTTTGCAAGACGACTTATTCTTTGCAAATACCTTTTTTCAACAACATAGATGGTGCAATATACATGGACCTTGCCAGATGGAATACCCAAGAATCAAATCGACTACATCAGTGGAAAGAGACAATGGAGAAGCTTAGTATCAGTCAAAACAAGACCAGGAGATGATGGTTCAATTTGAAGCTGAAGAAAATTAAAACAAGTCCACTAGAGCCAAAATATGACCGAGTGTAACACACCTGAATTTACACCTGAATGTAGACACCGTCCGAAGGATAGAATTTACATGTTGAATACCAGTGAGCAAAGACCAGGTGAATTGTGGGATGACATCAAGAATATCACGTATGTAGAAAGCAAATCGTAACTAAAAAGATAGGAAGGGAAGAAAAGACCAAAATGGTTGTCAGAAGAGACTCTGAAACTTGCTCTTTAACCGAGAATAGCTAAAAAAAATGGAAGAAATGAAATAAAAGAGCTGAACAGAATATTATAAAGGGCAGCTCGAGAAGACAAGGTAAAGTATTATAATGAAATGTACAAAGTCTTGTAGAAAACCAAAAGGGAAAAGCTAACTCGGCATTTCTCAAACTGAAAAAGCTGAAGGATAAATTCAAGCCTCGAATTGCAATATTGAAGGATTCTGTGTGCAAAATGTTGAATGTTGCAGGAAGCATAAAAGAAGATGGAAGAAATACAGAGAGTAACTATACCAAAAACAGTTGATAGATGACCAGCTGTTTCAAGAGGTAACATATGATCAAGAGCCAGTGGTACTGAAGAAAGAAGTCAAAGCTGCACTGAAGGAATTGGTGAAAAACAAGACTCAGCTCTGGCAGCGTAGTGCCTAGGGCACTTGACTGCTAACCAGAAGGCTGGCGGTTTAAACCCACCAGCCACTCCTCAGAAGGAAGGTTGGGCAGTCTACTTCTGTAGTGATACTACCTTGGAAGCCCAAGGAGGGGTCGTTAGGAGTTGGGTCTGACTCGATGGCACATAACAACAACAGGAATTGACAGAATACCTATTGAGATGTTTCAACAAACTGATAAAGCACTGGAGGCACTTACTTGTTTATGCCAAGATGTTTGGAAGACAGCTACCTGGCCGACTGACTGGAAAAGATCCATATTTGTGCCCATTGCAAATAAAGGTGATTTAACAGAATGTGGAAATTATCGAACAGTGTCATTAATATCACACACAAGTAAAAGTTTGCTGAAGATAATTCGGAAAGTTTGCTGTAGTATATTGATAGGAAACTTCCAGAAATTCAAGCTGGATTCAAAAGAGGATGTGGAATGAGGGGTATTAATGCTTACGTTAGATATATCTTGGCTGAAAGCAAAGAATACCAGAAAGATGGTTACCTGTCTTTTATTGACTGTGTGGATCATAGCAAATTATGGATAACATTGAAAAGGATGGGAATTCCAGAACACTTAATTGTGCTCTTGAGGTACTTGTACATAGACCCGGAAGCTGTAATTAGAACTGAACAAGGGGATACTGGACAATTTAAAATCAGGAAGGGTGTGCATCAGGGTTGTATCCTTTCACCATACTTACTCAATCTGTATGCTGAGCAAATACTCCAAGAAGCTGGACTTACGAAGAAGAACGTGGTTCAGGATTGGAGGAAGAATCATTAACAACCTGTGATATGCAGATGACACAACCTTGCTAAAAGTAAAGATGAGTTAAAGCCCTTACTGATGAAGATCAAAGACTACAGTCTTCAGTATGGATTACACGTCAACATAAAGAGAACAAAAATCCTCACAACTGGAACAGTAAGCAACATCACAGTAAATAGAGAAAAGATTGATGTGATCAGGGATTTCATTTTACTTGGATCCGCAATCAACACTCAAGGAAGCAGCAATCAAGAAGTAGGGCGTCATATTGCCCTGGCAAATCTGATTAAAAAGACCTCTTTAAAGTTTAAATTAAGGAAAGAAATGTCACTTTGAAGATTAAGGTGCATCTGACCCAAGCCATGATATTTTCATTTGCTTTATATGCATGTGAAAGCTGGACAATAAGTAAGGAAGATCAAAGAAAAGTTGATGTCTTTGGATTGTGGTATTGCCAAAGAATACTGAGAATACCATGGACTGCCAGAGAAATGAATGTATCTATCCTGGAAGAAATGTAGATGGAATGCTCCTTTTAAGTGAGAATGGCCAGACTTCATCTCACCTACTTTGGCAATGTTGTCAGAAGAAATCAGTCCCTTAAGAAGGATATCATACCAGTAAAGTAGAGAGAGGAGCTCTGGTAGCACAGTGCCTAAGGCACTTGACTGCTAACCAGAAGGCTGATGGTTCAAACCCACTACCCACTCCTTGGAAGGAAGGTTGGGTAATCTACTTCTGTAGTGATACTGCCTTGGAAATCCAAGGAGGAGTCACTATGAGTCGGGGCCGACATAACAGCACATAACAACAACAACAACAAAGTAGAGGGTCAGCAAAAAAAGGGAAAACCCTCAATGAGATGGCTTGACGTAGTGGCTGCAATGATAGCCTTAAATGTAGCAGGGATTTTGAGGGTAGCACAGGACAGGGCAGTGTTTTATTCAGTTGTACGTAGGGTTGCTATGAGTTGGAGATGACTTAACACTGCCTAACGATAACATAGCATAGATATTATTATTAACCCCATGTTTCAGATGAGAAAATTGAGGCTCAGAAAGATTAAATAAATTTCTCAGGTTACATAGCTAATAAATGGTGGAGCTCGAGTTTAAACTGAGGCAGTTTGGTTCTAGAGTCTGTGCTTTTTTAAAAAAACATTTTTTTTAGTTTTGTGTATTTCGCTGTACATAAATTATATTTCAGTAAAATATATTTTTTAAAAGTTGTTTTACTGACTTTCCAGATGACTAAAGCAGTACAGATTATATGACTATAACTTTCCATTTTCTATATAATTCTTTCAGTTTGACCCTTTTCTTTCTGTTCTTTAAAAAAAAAATTAACGTAAATGAATATTACTTTATCCTAACTTGATTTTATCTTAATTATGCTAGTATAATTTCTCCATTGTTGGTTACAATCTGTTATTTATATTTTTCATACTCTTTTGTGTTCTTTGCTTTACCCTTAGTGCATATCACATTGCTAAACAAAGAATGGCTAACAGTAGCATTGTATACATAACTTGCCCATTCACAAATGGCTTTATAAATCAGATTTTAAAAAGTAAGGAAAGAGAGATCTTATCGGGTCTGACTCGACAGCACATAACAACAACAAC